GGGCGCTGACTCGGAGCGGTGCAGCACGGGGACGGCGCCAAACGGCGCGTGAGGCCGCGCGTGACTCGGGTGTCACCAGACGCAGCCCGTGCTCCGCTGCGACGCTCGGCGCGGTCACCTTGTCGAGGTTAACTGATGTCACATTGTGCACCCTGCGTTAATAATGCCCGTGGGGGCCCACGAGGTAAGCCCACTCTCATGTTAAGTTGGGCCACACAATCATGAACAGCTCGTCTGGTTTCAGTAGCGCAATGGTAGCGCGCAGTGCGCATGCGCCCGCCTGCTTTCTCGGAAGAAGTTTGCGCGCGCCTTCTGGCGCGGTGCGCGGGTGTTGACACCGCCAGCGCCTGGTCCGGCGCCGCCCTCCCACGCGGCCGGTTGCATGCTCTCGAGTGTGCGATTGCCACCTGTCGGATTGCGTGACACTGGACGGCCGTGGCTCCGCCCGGTTTCGTCAGGCCCGGGAGCAGTGCGACTCCGAGCCCACGGCGATCTGCCGCCTCTCCCCGTCTGCAAGGCAGATGTGCGGTGTTCCGGCCGGCGGCATCGTGCCATTTTTCTTCAGCGTCGGGCTACCTGTGATGTTCTCGGGGAAGAAAGTGACCTACAGTGGCCTGAAAAAGTGACCTACAAGCATCTTTGAGGCGATTGGATTTGCACTAATCTCTGCGGGCATGTCTGCCGGCAGTAGGCATGGCTGCCGAGCTTAAAACCATGGAAATAACTCCTTGCGATGATTTTGAATAGCGCGATTCTTTATGGTAGCGTTGTATAAAGCGGTGGCCGCGATTTTTCGAGCATTACCGGTTCATCGAGACGAGCTTTTGAAGCAAATCTCAGGTCCGGTTCCCACCCGGATGGTTAGGATCAGGGCATTCCAGATGATTATGCGCGTTAGGTACGTGAGCTTTGAAGCACCCCTGCAGTGAAATTACTCCAATTATGCCCCAAAAAAGCAACTTCTTTGTGGTACCATGTCGTTAAATTTACGCCTAATGACGGCTGTTTCTTTTGACAGTTACAGATTGCAGAACCCAGTATAAAAGTTTTACGGTACTGGCATGAGGAGTGTCTATGGCATCATCACGTGACAATAGTCTGGTGGCATGTAGGTAAGCGGCCTCATTGGCTTGAAGCTTACGACTCGTTAAAAGAAAATAAAAGCAAATTTTCTCTTTTTGCGACTTCTCCACTTAGCACCCACAGTCACCGTTATCTAGATATCTTCAATCGAAGTCATGATATAAGCAGCTCACAGGAGTCTGACGTGCAGGTGTCTCATGGACTGACGAGGCGAGCACAGAATATGATACCAAAATTATCTCTTCAAACCCATCGCAGTTCAGAATATGAGCGCCCACCGTCAGTGCAGTCACCCAATGCGAGCTCCGTAACTCTTTCCCTGAGCCATCCGCATATTCCCTCTCGGGATGTCAGACCTCGACCCATGTGATGCTACCAAATGTTCCGTTAGAACCACGTAACGTCGGACAGCTTTATCCTGTCACATGAAAATTCGTTTTGTCGCTTGAGATTAAGAGACGGATGGCCTCAAATCCCAGGGGCCACCCAGGTATCTTTAGGTGCCTGGGTGGACTCACCCCAATGGATCGTCCAACTTCACAGATTGTACATGTACATGCAGCCTACTGCTGCTTGGAATGCAAGACAAAGTAACCCAAGGTGCGGAGGCAGAGTAAATGGTTTACACCAAAGATGTCCTGGACTTTGAGTATGAACATCTACGCGATGCGACCGACCGATGCGACCGATCATCTGCGATCGATGCGAGGTGATTTCCGTCAACTAGTGGGCCTTGAAACGGGACATGTTGACATTTTTGGAAGTTAGTAAGGATCATACCTTGAACATGTTCCTTGATGTTTTAAAGCCAAAGCTGTTGCTGGGAGCAGTGGGTTGCCGTACCCATATATACCTATTTGTTACTGATGACTGCAGAAATATAGGCATGACAAATAAACTCGCGTTAATCTATTGACATTTAGATATTTGTTCACATCATCAGTTCTGAACTTTCTCCCATTCCAAAAGAGAAATTCTACACAACTGCGTATATCTCACATCGACGAGTGCGGTGCCGTTCAGTGCACAGGCCACGTGAACACAGCTTCACAGAGAAAACAGTACGCGGTGCAGCGCAGCCATGGATCACATTTGTTGTGCTTCCAGGCAAACAGCTCCAAATCTGGGCCCGGTCTGCGGGCCGCCGGCTCTTATCCTCGGCCCCGCCACCACAGCGGGCCCGGAGCCGGGAGGGCGCCGCGCAGCTCAGCTGAGCTCAGGTTAGGTCAGGTCAGCTCAGCCCTGCAGCGGCCGGGCACCTCAGTGCGCCGCGGTCGCCTTGGCCGGCCAGTAGTCTGCCCAGGCGAGGGCCGAGTGGGCGTCGTCTGCAGACACGGTGCGGATGGCCAGCCGCAGCGGGGCGGAGAGGTCCAGCGCCGGCAACAGCGCCTTGGTCCGCTGCGGGTTCCGGATCGCCAACTGCAGCTGGCTGTCGACGAAAATCTGGCCCGAGAGAAATGGCAGGGTCAGCTTCAACTACGCCATGTTAGGAGAACCGGTTTCAGCTTCACTGTGCGGAGGGGGATTTTAGACATACATAGATAGGGCAATTTTCGCGGCCCTTGATAATATAAGATTTAAAATAACCAAAAGGTTGTCGGTAATTACAAAGTGATCATGTCAGTGTGCACTAACAGTTAATATGTCAGCGCAAATGGCACTGATATTTACACATGAATGGCATTGCATGCACCATGCTGTTATTCTGCATGGTCCGCATCCAAGTGAGAGTAAACTTATGCGTATATATATATATATATATATATATATATATATATATATATATATGCATATATATTGCAGGTTAGAGCGGTTCCGTGGACAGGAAGGCAGCCTGGCCGCGTCTCACTTCGTCTGACGGACGGGGCTGACCTGGTAGCCGGAGATCCTGTGGTCCTCCACGGGGCTCCAGTAGAGAAGCAGACTGTCGCCGCCCACGGCCCGGATAACCTGGAAGCTATCGGGCGGCGGCAGCGCGCCGGCCGGGCTGGCCACGTGTCCCTGGCCCGGCTCTGCTGGCGGCGGCGGCGCGTCCCGCGGGGGCGGCGACCACTCCTGCGCCGGCGTAGGCGCCGAACGATAGGGCCGAGCCACGCCCACCGGCGGCGCCACCGTCGGCGCCTTGGCAGAGTGCGTTCGCCGGGGAAGAGGCACCTTCGAAGGTGGCGTCACCTGTGGAAGAAATGGAAAAGGGGGATGAGATATGTCTGCACAAAATTGTCCCAAAGTTAAGCTCTAATACACTGGCAAAAATTTCCAGTTGGCTCATTGTTATTATCGAACATTTTGAAGCTATGCATCCAAATATACACTTTCAATTGTTATCGCTGCCAAATAAAAAATACCTTTCGCGAAGAGAGGCGAAGGCTGGGTGGCGTCCGCGGCTTTGTGGTGTAGCCGTGGGATGCGAGACAGCTTGGAGCTAGTGGTGTGTTCCGTTGCACTGTACACTCGGTCTTCCACAGGTGAGCCAGCCGAACACTTAAGCTGGAAAAGCAATTGCGCGAATCAGTCAATCAACTAATGCCGGTAGAGTTATGCACTCTTGTATTTGGTGTATTCCAGCAAGGGTATATGGTTGAAAGACGTCTTCTTGGTCCTCAAAGAGTAATATAGGAAGCGTTTGCGAGACAACCACTGAAAACATATCGGCACTTAGAACACTGTACCACATGGTGAATTTCATAGTCAGTGCCTAATGTATGTGTGGACCGTGTTTGCCGACACATCATACCAAGCCCACCGACTACACTTAAAGTCAAAATTCCGCTGTCGCTGTCGCCAGCAGACGCCCATCGGCAGAGCTCGTCAGGAGCCGTGCCGCCGCTGGCGGAGCGCGGCCGTGCTCACCGTGGCGGCCTGCTGCAGAGCCCGGCAGAGCAGCTCGCGCTCAGCGCTAGACGGGTCGGCCTCATCATCGCCGCCGGCCCGCAGCTCGGCCACCAGCCGCGCCGTCTGCTCGTTTGTCAGCAGGCCGCGCAGCCGGCGCAGCAGCGCGCCCAGCCGGCGGTCTTCGCTGGCCGCCGCCGGCTGCGCCAGTCGCCGGCGCTGCAGCCGCTGCTGCTCCGACTGCGCCGCTCGCTCAGCCGCCTGCCGCCCGCGCAGCTGGCGCAGCTCACAGCCACGCGCCTCCAGCTGCTCCTGCAGCTGCGCCGCGCGGCTGTCCGCCACCGCCAGCTCCCGCTCCTTCAGCTCCAGCGTCAACTGCAGCTGCGGCAGCCGCTCGGACGGCTCCGGGGACTGCGGCGCCGTCTGAACGCTGGTGCTGACACCTGGCGGCCGGGCGGACAGACGCGCCGTGGCCGCAGCCAGCGCCTCCGCCTCTGCAACAGCCAAGTCCGAGTAAGTCGCAGCGCGCGGGCCGTATGATAGCGGCCTGGATTTCAAAGCCGTTAATCTCGAGCCGGGGTGATAAACGTTAGCCGGGGTGTACCCCCGATGCCGGAGGGCCGGCGGCGCGGGCAGGGCTGGCGGGACGTACCGCGGAGCTGGGCCTGCAGCGACTGGTCGGCGGGGGCGCCGCTGATGAGCAGGATGACCTGCTCCAGGCTGAGCGTGACGCCCGACAGCACGCCGTCGGCCGCCTGGCAGCACACCTCACACCCCTGCCGGCAGAGGATCACGTGAGACACCGCAGCCCCTGCTGATCAGCAGGGTCATTTGGGGCGGACCGACCGGCCAGCCACCGTCCGGTCCCTTGCGGTTCACCGCCCGCTGGCACGGCCGGACGACAATCGCGGGCACCACAGCAAGGCTAACTTATGTGACTGTTTGACTATATTGGCATTGTGACGCCAACGATGACTGTCGGGTTGTTGATACAGTCGCCTCATCATACTTCGACCATGCCATACTCCTGACCATACTTCTGATCTGCGTTCCTATCTCTCAGAGTGAGCGACTGCACGGCACAGCATAGCGTAATGCGGCATGACACAACGTAGGGAGGGGCTCAGACCGCACATCACAACAGCGGCTCATCTGCCGGTCGAGTGAGGGTCAGGTCAGGTCAGACCCCACAGACTTGCATCGCTCCCTTGCCTGAATCTTAGCCTCTGTCGCCTTCACCAGCGCCAGCATCCTGATCAGGTTGCTTCTCCTGGTCGGCGAGGGCATCCAGTTCCCGTGTCGTCTGTTTTTTGTTGAGCTCCTTCACTTGTGTGGAGAGAGCACTGATCTCCCCGTCCCGTCGGTTGAGCTCCAGGTTCAGCTGGATGATGTCCTGTTCTGCGCGGCTCTTCTGGCTGTCCGCTGCCTGACGCAGCTCGGAGTGGTCCAGCTAGAGAGAATGTCGAAAGTGAGACTCTCACCACAGCTTACGTTCCTCTATACTCGTATCCTTGTTGTAAAGGTCCCCCCAAAAATCATGATTAAATACCACTTCTAAATGTAATCAGCGGCATAATTTTGCCACCCTATAACTTGTGTACGATCGAATCGACTAGCTTAGCGATCCGGAATTCACAGCCGGCTCGCAGATTTCGTTAGTTTGTGCATATTCCACGGTGGATATCAACCGCTGGAAGGCCACTCGGCTCAGCGGATACGACATCGGATGTGCGTTTTCTGAGCTGTACTGAAGCAGCAAGCTTGGTCGACGGTGAGCAGAATCACTTTTTCTGATGCATTGCAGTGATGTACATTTTAGTCACTCTCACCTCTAGTTTTTCCAGCTGGTCTCGCAGCTGACTCGAGTAAGAGTCATTCTCAGTTAACTGCTGATTTACCAGCGCAAGCTGACTGCGCAACCTTCCGACCTGAAAGCCGGCCAAGGTCTGAACAGCGCGCGGGAGCGTGGGGCCACAGCAGTGCCATCTGGTGCACCCCAAATATCATCTCCGCACACTTTACGGCCGAAAAACGCCATCGTTCCGATTCAAGGCAGACTTATCTCCCTGCGCCATAACCCACTCTCAGAGCTCTCATCTCTCTCCTGTGCCATACCTTTCCTCAGGGCCCTGATTTCACTCCTGTGTCATAATGTACCCCAGAGCCCTTATCTCTCTCCTGTGCCTTAACCTTTCCTCAGAACCCTGATCTCACTCCTGTGCCATAACCTTTCCTCAGAGTCCTCATCTCCCTCCTGGGCCATAATGTATCCCAGAGCCCCGGCCAGTCGCCCAAATTCTGACCTTCCCCGAAAGCCCGACATGTGCTCTAGGTCCTGACCTCTGTCCTGAGCCGGCGCCTCTCCCCCGACCTCTAACCCGTGCTCTGACCTCGTTTCGGTGCTGGCTCTCAGTGCTGTCGGCAGCGCCGCTGGTGGCCTCCTGCTGGCGGCGCGCTTGCTGAAGCTCGCGGCGCAGCTGGGCCCGCTCCTCGGCCTCAGCCACCTGCTGCAGCTGCAGCTCCACCAGCGCCGCCTGCAGCGACTCCAGCTCCCGCTGCCGGCAGTCCACCTCCTCGCCCAGCCGCCGCTCTCTGGGGAACGGAGGCGAGCGGCGTCATCGGCCGTCGCTCTCCACCAGTTCACAGCTCAGCAGCAATGCATCTCTTGTCGGGTCACTGACTGGCGACCCTTTAAAGGTCATTCACTGATACATTATATGAGTATTGGAGAGCCTTATGCTAGGATAACGCCATAAGAACAGCCCGCGGCACCGGCTTGTTTTCAAGCCGCGGTTGCAGCCCAGCACGTTCACATTGGGGCACAATACGCGACGGCCCTTGCGTCCCTTTGCTTTGCCACCCGTCTGCGGACCTGTGCGCGTGCTGCTCCTGTTGCCGACGCAGCGTCTCCTGCAGCGCCAGCTCTGCCTGCTCCAGCTCCTCAGTGCGGCCGCGCAGCTGCTGCTCGCTCTGCTGAAGCTCGGCGGCGCGCTGGCGCAGCGCCGGCAAGCGCAGCCCGCCCCTCGGCGGCGGCACTCAGCTCGCGGCGCGCGCCGTCCAGCTCGCGCAGCAGCTCCTCCTGGTCGCGCAGCTCGAGCCGCAGCCGCTCGGCTGCGCGCTCCTCTTCGCGCAGCCGGATGCTCTGCTCGCGCTCCCGCCGCTCCAGCCGGTACACCTGACGAGAGCCAATGGCGTCAGCTGATGCGGCTGAAGGCCGGCAGTGGCGTCAGCTGATGCAGCACAGAACCGCTGAAGACGGCCAGTAAAGTCCTTACGGGTAAATACAAATTACACACATTTTTGGCTAAAGCCAGCCATAGCAGACTCACGAAACACCTGGACGAAGCTCAGGGTAAATATCTCAATATATGATATTTGTGAAATATGACAAACCAGCTCCATCGCAGTCTAACATGGCCTTTCTCGATGAATGGAGGTCCTGAGCTGGGCCCACATCATGTTAGCCCTGCATCTCGATTGAGTGTGATGTTACCGTATTTAAAGCGGACAATGAAAAATCCGTCTTCTGAAAACAATCAGTCTCTTTCCGAATTTCCTGAAGGTCAAAAGATATTGTAGGAACTGTAAATGTGCGAATTTGTGTACCTTTTCCTTCAGCTTCAAGTCTTCATTTTCCGTTTCGATCAGCTTGTCCAGCAGCTCAGCCACCCTCTGCTGGTCGCGCTTGCCGGCGCCGCCGTACAGCGCCTGCTTCAGCTTCTCCTCGGTGCCCTCCATGAAGTTGATCCTATTCTTGCTTTCACGCAGTTGGTCCTCCAGCTCCTCGATGTTCTTCTGGTATCGCAGCTCGACGCTGTGCATGATGCGGTCGGCCTCCTCCAAGGTCTCGCGGTAGGCGCCCTCTTTTTTCTCTAACTCGTCCGCGTGGGCAGCCAGTTGGGCCTGGGACCGCTTGGTCTCCCGCAGCCGCTGCAGCAGCGCCGCGTGGTCCGCCTCGTCGGTCGACCAACTGAGCTCCAGCTCGGCCGCCAACGTCGCCAGCATGTCATCAGCCGAGCGCAGTCGCCGCCGAAGCTCCGTCTGCTGCTCCTGTAGAGACTCCAGCTCCGTACTGTGGTTCTGCGTCAGCTGATGACGGGCCGCCTCGAAAGAGCTCAGCCGCTGCTTCAGCTCGACCACCTGCTTCGTCAGGGGATCGCCGGAGAGCGTCTGTTTCTGATGGTCTTGTGTCTGCTCCTGATGCGGCTGATCACGATTGTGCGGCGCACTCGGCTCGTCCGCACCCCACACGTCTTCACCGCACCCTCGCTGTGTTGCCAGCACCTGGAGAGCCTTGGCGAAGTAGCCGTCCTGATCGGGGCCGCCCAGGAAGAGCAGTGAGTCACCTGGCGACGCCGTCGTCGACACGCAGCCGAGCTCTCTGCTGCAGGCGCTGCATCGGAGCGGCTCGCCGGCCGGCGCCTCGTCCGCTGGCCGCGAGAGCTGCGCCGTCAGGGCGGCGGTCGAGCCTTGCGGGCCCGCCGGGCCCGCCTCCGACACCGCCGCCACGTCCGACGCGTGCGAGAGCTCCTCGCCGACGCCGCTGTCGCTAAAGCTGGACAGCTTCTCGGCCTGCTCGGCAGTCAGCAGCGGCGGCGAGCCGGTCGGACGCTGCTGCTCGTCCGGTGAGCCGTCCGAGTGTGGCCGCGCTTCGGGCGAGGCCGCCGTCGGACCGGGCGTCACCGGCTGTCGGGCCGACGCGCCGCCGCTGGCCGGCCGGTGCAGCCGCGCGCGCAGCTCGGCCACCTCGCGCTGCAGGGCGAGCACGAGCTGTTCGGGCTCGTGCGCCGGCCGGGCGCGCTGCTCGGCCTGGTGCCTCAGCCGCACGCTGGTGAGCTGGCGCTGCAGCTGGCGGCAGCGCTCCTGCTGCTCGGCCAGCTCTGCGCTCAGCATCTTCTCCACCTCACCGCACGTGAACAGCTTCACCTCCAGACTGCCGGGTGGAGCGCACAGGAGGCGGCGTCAGAGGCCCGGTGGCATAGCATACGCAAGCATGGCATGTGAGGACTGTCCCTGCGCAAGCTAGGTACCTTTATAGTGGTATGTGTCTTGATGGAGGTGGTTGTAGCCTGATGTTAATTGTTACGTAGATAAAATTGATCTGATGTAGAAAGTAAATGTGACAGACCTATTAGCTTCTTAAAGTGCA